ATCGCGCTCACCAGCGCCAGCAGGCTGACCAGCAGCGCCAGCCGCAGGGCAGGCAGGGGCGGCGAAGGCTTGACCTGCAGGGACCGCGGCTGAGCGGGTCACGTCGCCTTCAGTCGCCAGGCAGCACCGTACGCGGCTTGCGCGTGCACTGCATCACTGAGCCGGCAAAATGTTCTACCGTAGCCCACAAAAGGTTCGTGGGTAAGTAAGTCTCTCAGAGGGCTCAAAGTCAATTTGGAGGGCCCACGAATGCTCCGGAGGGAGTGTTCCCCGAGCCCCGAGCCAGCCTGGCAGTGTTTTCGCTCCTCTGAGCAGCCAGAACGCACTCGTCTGTGGGGGTACGGTTCGGGGGAGAATTATGCAAGACCTCCCCCAACGCAAACGCCTTTGCAAGTCCCGCTACCTGCAACCAGCGATCGAGGACACCGAAGAGCGCCACCAGTGCATGACCCAGTATGGCCACGCCCAGCCACAGCAGCAGGGACCGTCCCGCGTGCCCCCCTGCCCCCCCCGGCATCCTGCTGGGCCTGCGGCAGCCCTGCCTGCTGCTGCTGCTGCGTGCTGCTGAGTGATCAGGGGTAGAGCGATTTGCCCGAAGAAGAAGAAGATGTGACCAAACACGGGTGAAGCAATGTCGCAATGTTGCAGCGCTTTATCCAAATTGCCACAGCAACGCGCCGCGTGTTGCTCAGTTGCCAAGTAGGAAGAGCGCCTGCAAGAGGGAGGGCTGCGAGACGTGCCAGCTGGCGCCTGCAAGCATGTGCCAGCTGGCGCCTATGGAGGAAGGGGACGCGCAAGCCAAAAACCGCAGAGGCCGACCGGAATGAATCTCTGGTGCTGTCCTCGCTCGCTCCTTTCAACCGCTCTTCAGGCCAGGAGAGCAGCGGCCACCGCTCACCGCCCCTAGCAGCATCCAGTCATGGCCCGGCTTGCTCTAGAGGTCGTAGTGCGACCTGTGAAATCGCAGCAGCAGCTAGAGGAGTTTAAGAGCGTCACCGCCGCTTACCTAGGTGCTGGTGCTTCTGCGGCCGTGTGGGTGATGCAGGCTGCGTCCTGATTTGTTGCATCATGTCAGTTGCCGGCGGCACAGCACCATTTGAGTTTGCTGCTCTTTGCCACCACTCCGCCACTGCCGCTGCCCTTCAGTGAGTGGATTGATCCACTCACTGCCCGACCGCCCTTCTTCCGGGCTTCTGTTGAGCATGCAGGATTGCTGGGAGAAGACATTGGGTTCCTGGGGGACATTGAGCGCGAGCTGGCGAGCCTGCCTGGCAGCTATGCCGCCGAGGCGGGGGGCAGCATGCTGCTGGCGTATGCGGCGAGCGGCAGCGGCGAGGAATGCATCGGCGCCGTGGCGCTACGGCGCCTGGCCGGGCACACGCCCACGCTGGGCGAGGGCGACGCGGTGGCGGGCGTGCCGCTGGCAGAGGTGTGCGAGATGAAGCGGCTGTTTGTGCTGGAGGGGCACCGCGGGTTTGGTGCTGGCGCGGCGCTGGTGCGGGCCCTGCTAGCAGCGGCGCCACTCCTGGGCTACCGCCTTATGGTGCTGGACACGCTTGAGCGGATGTCGTGCGCCATTCGCTTGTACGGCAGGCTGGGATTCCAGCCCTGCGAGCGCTACAACGACTGCCCGGTGCCGGACGTGCTGTACTTTGCTTTGCAGCTGGGGACAGCCACGTGAGGCGGCTCTTGCCAGGCCACTGGTACCAAATGTTTGCAATGAACTGTTCTTAACCTTTCTCATCTGTATCTTTATTCGATGACTAGCACTGCAATCGCACCGGCGGCACGGCGTTTCGGTTCACGGCTTGCTGCCGCTGCCATCGCAGGGCTGCTGCCTGCGGCGGCGGCGGCACGGCGTTTGGGTTCACGGCTTGCTGCCGCTGCCATCGCAGGGCTGCTGCCTGCGGCGGCGGCGGCACGGCGTTTGGGTTCACGGCTTGCTGCCGCTGCCGCCGCCGCAGGGGTTCTGCCTGCGGCGGCGGCGGTAGCGCACGTGGCACCCCCCTGCGCTTCCTTGCCTCCCATCCACCGGACCCCGTCCTGCGCTTCACTTTGTTTTGGGAGGGGCTGCTCACTGCTCATTGCTCATTGCTCATCGCACACTGCTCAACGCTCATTGCCCTATATCCCACCCAGCCGCAGGACTCCACTGCCGCCCGCGCCCCGCCCCATCTGGCCGCTTGCGCGCCCCATCCCCCCTCGATGGGGCCCGCCCACACCGGGGCCTCCCCCCTCCCGACCACTGCTTTCTCAACGGCCCCGAGCCGGGGCTGCCCTCATTGCATACATAGTGCGCCTTTCCCTGCTTTTCTAGTGACCTAGCGTTCCGCACTGCCGTTTGGCCAGCCCATGCTCCCGTACCGTTGCGTTTCTCCCCAATGCGCCATGCCACTTTGCCAGTCATACACACGTTTCGATGCGTGCCCTGTCAGCTGCTTGCGTTGCATGTCGCCTTGCTCCACCCCTGTTTTATTGCTTTCTCTGCTTTCGCCCGGTTCCCGTCCCGTTTCGGCGGGGAGTCTATGTTGCAAGCTAGTTCTTGCTTTACCAGACTTTAAGCCCACACAAGCAACAAGCAACCGACCACCTGCTTTCTGTAAACGTCTGCCCTGTCGTCATGGGAATGTTACAACACCTCAACCCCCAACTCACGCAGCCGCCTCTCCACCTGCGCCAGGCAGGCGCTGTTGGCATCCAACTCTGCGGCATGTGGCAGTGCTGCTTCGCCATCCAGTTGCTGACAGCCATTATGGAGGTGGCGCTGTTCTGCCACAAGGTCTCGAAGCACCGCCGCCACGCGCTGGAGCCTGAACATGTGATGCCAAGGGCTACTGAGATTGCAAGTTTTGAGGCTGGTGAAGCCATCATCAGCCACCATCCTAGATGGGCAGCTCTGATGCTCGCTGCCGCTGCCTGCTTCCTCTCTTCCAGCTGCCATTAATGCCTCTTGCAACTGGCCTGGTGCTCCTTCATGGCGTGGGCAGCTGCCGACTCCTGCTAGCTGGTGCAGACTGCTCCGCGCGATACAGCGCAGCAGAACCCCAAGCCCCGCATAGTCCATGCCCGCGTTGGCCGCCAAACTTCTCTGAACCAATCGTTCAAACTCAGCCAGGCTGCAGGCAAACATGAAATGGTAGCAATTCAGAAACCAATCGGCCTCTGCCAAAATGACC